GCGTACAACGGCCGAAACGTTGTAATAAATATGGCGACAAAGATGAGGACAATAGTCCGAATAATATAAATAATGTACATAATACCTCATCTCAGAAATATAGACAGATACTGAAGTATTTTGTTGTTATCTACTAATATTATATAGTTGTATATTTAGGCAGCAATCCTTCGTTTATGCATGTTTCATTAAAAGCGACAGACAATATACTACGGTTAAGCTTTTTTATTTAATTAATCTTGTGTCCAAACAACAGCTTTATTTTCTGGACAAAGAGTGTGTAAAAACTGTCCAAATGTTTTCTAGTTCAGAGCGCTTTCGGCTATACCTTTAGCCATTATCAAGGATTATTCGTTTTTTCAGCTTAATTGAGTGAGTATATATATATTTGGTTGGATAGATGTGAGTTTGTGACCCTGGGTTTGTCTGACGATCGCTAAAGCGTGAAACCCAGGGTCACAAACTCACATCTATCCAACCAAATATGTTAGCTCTATCTCTGATATTGAGCGCTTTCTAATAAGTACCGCGCATATAATATATAAATAATTATATATATATATTTATTTATATTTATATACACACACTTTTCACGCGCACACACACACACACACACACATAATATATATATATATAATGTATGAGAATGGGCTCCCTATAAAAAAACGTGGTAAATTCAAAAAGAAATTTATTTAGCTATCATGATTCATGCATAAATTGAACAATCATCGTAGATGTTCGAAATGTTTGCCTGAATGTTTAATACAAAGTTGTAAAAGTGGTAACTAGGAAGCAGTAGCTTTACGGATAGTGTCAAGAGGAATTTCATTCCGAGTTTAAGTTAAGTTCCACTACAATGCATCAATATCTACGATGTCACAACAATGGTTTTGCAAGTGAGTTAGGAGTATACGCCATAATATTCCATAACATTCATAGCTGAGCTATCACAGGGTCACTGAGGTGAACCAATTAGAACCGGTGTATTTTCTCGAAGAATAAATTTGCCGCTATTTTTTTACTGGGCATCCTGCAAATATTTTCCAATCGCTAGAATATAAAATATTTTGCTAGACTGATATATTCAAGGAGTCACTGCTATGACAAATTGTTCATGGTGAGATTCGAACTTGGGTCTTATATTTGGAGTTAGGGCTCAAACCCGATTTTATAAAACCGGTTAAAATTGGTTTTCATATAATGATCACTAAAACAGAAACTGATTTACCAAAACGGATTTTAATGTTTCTAGTTTCCGCTTTCTGTGAAATATTTCTCTATTTTTTTCTTTTAAAGAAATGTCGTTGTTACTGCAGTCAGTCATCCTTTAGCTAGCTGAGTGCTATCTGTTTCATTGAAACAGATGGCGGCATATCAATTGTCACCTTCCCGATACCTTAGATCAGCGTCTTGTCATTTCATTCCCTAACCCCTCGCCAACTCCTAGAATTTGAAGGTTACGGACATTATTCATAGCAAGCCAAGGGAATGATATCATTGTTGTCAGGTGAACTTTCCCGTTGAATATACGTAATAACCAGTTCCAGCTTTATTTCAAGGAAACAACACTAACTATTTTTTCTCTATTTTACAATAGATTTAATAGTGCGATAAGTTTAATAGTTTTCCATTTCATTCTTATTCGCCCTAACATGATAAAAAGAAAATCAACGGTGTGGAATTTTTTCGTTCAGAAAAACAAAGATGAAGAACAATGCAGGAAGTTTGAGAAAACAATGACATCTTCTGGATGATCTACCACGTCTTTGATCTTGCATTTGAAGAAGATTCATCAAATCGACACAAATCAAGATGCAGACCAGCCTTATGTGAAAATGGCAAAAACAATGGAAGATTTTTTAAGAAAGAAATCTATGAAAGAGATTTCAAAGTTTTTTTACCATAGATTGATTTTCTTAAAATTCAATCGCTAAATTAATTTCATTCAGACAAATCTTCATGATCAGAGGTGAAAATATTTTATATTACCCCCAACATCTGCAAATGGAGTCAGAAATATGGTAACGAATTACTACATAACCAAGAAAAAGAACTTATTCATTATTTCGAAAAAGAAGTAGAACTGGGGATTTGCTACTCATTGACATTGGATGAATGCACATCAATTCAAAATAAGCGATATATGAACATTAATGTTTATGCGAAAGACAACCATTGATCGTTGGATCTTATTAATATCAATGGTTCACTTAATAGCAGGAGAACTGAGAAATTTGGGTTGGATTAGGATAAACACATTGTTGGCTGTACGATTGATGATGTTCATATGATGGTGCGGTTTGGAAAGGAAATAAGACCTGATCACCAATAATGAATCATATACTGCATATATATCTCACAGTGGTAGACATTCTTTATCAAAAAATATTGAAAATATCCCCTCAACCGAAGAGACTGATAAAAAAGTGAAGAGATTATTAAAACAGACGAGTGGCGATGGAGCTGAAATAAGCCAACAAGGCATAATTTGTCAAACAGATGTGGCCCATGAGAATGCGTGTTTCACCCAGCCAAACCCTCCTGGGTAAGACGATAAACTACGTCCAACAACAAGACCACCGATCAGGTTTTGAGGAGTGTTGAACCACCTCTTAATTGCAGGTGTTCCTAGGTCCACCCTAGACAGGACCCCTTTATGTTAACCCCCAAACTGCGGTCAAAACACTATGAAAGCGTAAAAATAGGTTTTAATACCAGAAATACGTTGCAAAAAATTATTATTAGTAATAAACTTTTGAAGAAAAATTATTACCCGTAATACATTATTACCAACAATACATGTTTGAAAAAACAAATATTACCAGCAATAAAAATTGTCGGCATTAAATAACCCATTGAGGTTGATATGCCGTAAAACAAATCAAACCAAACGAAACGCGCAGCCAAAACCTGAATTTAACAAAGTGCTAAATAAGGTAAGGAAAATTTCCAAACTTTTCCGAAAATCACCTACAAAAAAATGAAATTTTGCAAGATTCTGTACGAGCGAACTTCGATAACAGAGAATATAAACTTATACTTGATTACACAACGAAGTGGAATGGCACGTTCCATGTGATAGAGAAATTTTTAAAATTAAAAAGCTGAATTCCAAATGCTCTATGAAGAGTAATTCCCATAGAAGCCGTGGCTTTATGAAATTCTACATCCAGTAGAAATTATTTGAAGGCTATTTGCGCTCATGATACGGATTTACTCAAAGCAGAATTTTCTATAGAATTTTTATTGGATAAATTTAATATCGTCGGCAACCCTTTGGCTCTAAATCTCCGTGAAAGACTTCTGCATCGGTATAATAAGAGAAGAAATATCGAAACCTCGACTCTCTTAAGTTATTTACACAATCCAATGCGGTTTAAAAACGACTCAATCTCTGGACATTTTCTTTTTCTAACAAAACAACTTTTAAAGAAGTATACTGAACAAGCATATAGAAGACTAGCAGCATGACCCGGCGTTGCCCGTGCTTGATTTAAAAATCGTACGACTCATACAGCAATCGCTATCACTTGACTTAAAATATTTTTGCCCTTCCTTGCCTTTAAAGGAGTGCCCTTTACCGTGCTGATATTGCTACATGCTTTACTTCTTGCTTATCTCACCCTGCGAATTTTTTCAATTTTCTTGCATGGAAAGGAAAAATGGAATAGAGTTTGCGTACCACTGGCTGAGGACTTCAGTGTAGACCACATTTTTAGCTTTTTGCGAGGATGAATAAAGGAACACATCCTCGCGCCTGCCGACTCGAGAGCAGGCTGCGTAAAGTTGGCCGCGTGAGAAGCACTGCTCCTCATAGTGTACACCAGTGACAGACAGGGTGAAACTGGGAATTGGGATCTTCTGAAAGTGAAGGGTACGTCGGCATCTGATGGATACAAATGCATCCTTGGGATAAGCACTTGCTCCCTTTTACCGCAGCCAGTTATAATTTTGGCCTCAATAATGTTTGGGTGTAGGGCCTGAATAACCATCCTGGTCCCATTACAGAGTTTCGGTGGACGCAGGTTTCTAAGCAACATAACCGGGACCCATTTACAAATCCATTAGTGTCCACTGGAATAATACCTTTCCCAAGGGCTAATAATGAATTCGAAAATTCGGCGGACCCAACATCGCCAGTTAGGTGTGCACGCATGTTGGTGGTAAAGTGTAATGGTCTAACAGTGTGTAAAAGTTGTGACGATTTCAAGCACGCTCGAATAGCGTCGGCCCTTGTCCCCTTACGTACAACGGGGAGGGTCTGGCGAAAGTCACCCGATAGAAGGACAGTTATACCTCCCATAAGGTCATCGGAGTTTCGAATATCCTTCAGAGAGCGGTTTACACCCTCGAGTGCAGTTTTGGGACTGACAGTGCACTCATCCCAGACGATGAGCTTACATCGCCTGAGTACCTCCGCTAGACCTGATTGCTTGGCTATACTGCATACAGCTGTTTCTGCCTTAATCAGGTCAAGCGGAAGTTTAAATGTTGAGTGCACTTTTCGGCCACCCGGTTGTCATGTGGCAGACAGGCCTGAAGACGCTACTGCTAGCGCCACTTCGCCATGGCGCCGAATTTCTGCAAGAAGCAGTTTTATTACGAACGTTTTTCCCGTTCCCCCAGGCGCGTCCAGGAAGAAAATTGATCCTGTATCCTGCCTCGTGGATGCAAGAACCGCATCGTAAGCGGCCCTTTGGTCTATGAGAAGTTTTGGCTCATTTGTTGTGACATAGGCGTTGAGCTCCTCAACAGAGTAGGATGTCTCCCGCACAATCTCAGATGAGAGACTGGAGGAAGTCACACGATCTGACGTTGGAAGCCCAATAGCGACGAGAGACCCCCCCCCTATTTCAGCAAACAGGTTCTCAATGATTATAAGCGCCCTGTTGTAAATTTCATCGTTGAATGTAAGAGCCATTTTTGGACACAGCAGTTGCGCTTCTCTGAGTATGTCTTCGGACAAAAAGTCCTTGTATTTGTCTCAAAGTGATTTGAGATTACTGGGTTCGCACATTTGTAAGATTGTGATGAAGAGGTGGCGCAGGTCTCACGAAAAGTGTCCCATAAAACTCCATTAACCGTCCGTAAGTTATTGTAGCTCGTTGGACCACTAACTTCGTGCAAAAAGAGTCGCAAGTAAAAACATTCCTGTCGCGATGGGGGAACCGTGAATACCCTTCCGAGTGTGGCGTCTTTTTTGACGCCTGCCTAGCCCTCGATGTTGGCCCCGCACTTCCGCCGAGCCCAGCTGTCCACACGTAGTATGGAGGCACGTCTGGGTACAGTAGAGTCCTAGCAAACTCGTCCTGCCGACCAAGTTTGAAGAATGCTCTAAGCGTTGTGTCTTTGGTACGCGCAGCCACATCCATTGCTGTATCCGCAGAAAAATAACGAAGTTCGTCGTTTTCTAGGTGCACAGCAAGCTGAACGATTGCTGGGAAGCGTTCGTGGATGGGGAACCTGAATATGTGCCAAGGGCCCTCTGTGCTGCTAATGACGCGCCCTGAACCTTCCTACCTAATACCAAACATTGCAGCATCAGTCCCTTTGTGGATGTACTTGCATACATACTTGATGGAGCGAACTGAATGGCAATATTCGACATTGATGTGCTTTAGCAATTGCGTACCATTTTGGGTTACACGTGAAAGTTATGAATAGGTCTGGTCGGCCGTACTTACGAACGTATGTCACCGCGTCTTCCGTCCTCGCGTGCATGTATCGTGGACTGCCTGTGAACGTTGCAGGTAGTATGCACATCTTGCCCATATATTGCGTGGATCAGCGCCATTTCGTAAAGCATCACGGAGGTGAATGTAAGAGTAGCAGCGCAACTTGGTCTGATTCAATTTGATGTAACAGAGTCTTTCGGATTCCATCTTAGCAGCCATGTCTACTATGAATTGATGGAAAAGTTGCCGGCTTCGATGAAGATGATTGAATGCACCCTCATGTACCATCAATAGGTAGGCGTAGAAAGCCCTGCAAGACACTGTTTTTAAGGGGGACCCATTTTGCAGAATGCCAAAGTGGTACCCATCTTCTCCGTAAGGGAAGAGAAGTGGGTATTGCAGTGCATCGTAGGACCGGTGCGTTTCACTGATTCTTCGGAGCCCACAGCTACGTGATTCGATAACAATGTCACGTCTGTTGTGCTAATCACCGCTGATAATGACGGAAACTTCGTTACTTGCGGGAGCATTGTAACGTCGTTCGTGCTCTCCCTGAGGCCGTTTGTCAGCATCAATTACAATAATGAAATCAGAAGAAGTGTTATTTTCGAGAGCTTACTTAAAACTGCGGACATAGTTGTTTATCTCGTGGAGCATTTGTTGGAGACTCATTATGATATCTCTGCGAGGATGATTGTGCTGGCCTGTATCGTTCTCGGGAATAATGCCCATGTGGGCATCTGCCTGTTGATTGTAGTCAGTTATGAAGTATATTTGTAGAAAGGCCGAATCAGTGGCAGTTTCCGGCAAAAGAGACCCAATCCGGTGGTAAACCTGACCTTGAACTTTGAAGGTGGGATTCCAACCGACTTCGCGGAAGGCATTACCACCAAAAGAGGTCATCTGGAAGGCACAATTGTATTGTCTGATTTTTGCGAGGAAATGTTTCGAGTCTAGACTGGAACCCTCCAACAGAGCTTTCAACGGAGCAGGTAGCTCTTGAAAAGGTGCCAACTGTATCTTACCGTCTGAACAACACAAACCTGCAGACTCCCCAGGCCATTTTTTGGCATTGCAATGCCCACAGACAACTGACATTGATCCTATTTGGAGGTCTTTGCGACCGGAAAGCCTCAAAACTGGATCATAGTTGAACGCCAGCTTAAACCAAAACTGCTTTGGTGGGCTACAGAGCCCTCGCTGTGCATGGCGGAGCTGGTTAACAGTCTGCAACCTTTCAAGCCTTTCAGTAGGTCCTTCTACAGCTCTAGCAGCGGAAGTTGAAATTGCATCGCGTTGCCGCCTTGTGCGCTTTTGCGCTGAACTTTCCGACGCCCTTGCAGCAGAAGCTGCAGCGGCGTCGGCTGCATGGCGTGCGGTTTTCTCAGCCATGGATTCCTGGGACCGTCCAATGGACGTTTCTGAATTACGTGCGGTTTTCTCAGCCGTGGTCTCCTGGGATTGTCAAATGGAAGTTGCAGCGGCGTCGGCTGCATTGCGAGTAGCTTTGCGATGCGGACTGTGGAGACCGCAAAAGTACTTGCGACAAAGCCGCTTTTTGTTGTCTTGCAAGCGTTTAGGTAGTTTCCTCTTACTTTTCAACGAATATGTGTAAACTGATTTGCAGTACAAACGGTAGTTACGCCCACCAAGCGTTTCATGTGACAAAACATACTGCTTCCGTTGAGATTGACTGGAAAGACTCAAAGATGCCTCTATCTCGGTTTCCTCCTCCCGCTTTCTCTTTGCCGCAGAGGCTCTTTTAGAACGCCTGCTAAGGTTGCCTCGCCATGCTATTTTGGCACGCTTAGTAAAGCTGCCGGGTCGGTCATCGCCACGGCACTCAGAAGAGTGCAAAGCAGAGGTTGAAGTAGACGCTATATGATCATTTGTAACCGGAGTTATTATATGCTCCTCCGCAGTCGCCTGTTCTGCATGTGTAACGTTAATAGTATTAGGAGTCTTCAGTTGCTGATGTGCGGATGTTCGTCGTGTAGGAGCCATTTGAAAGGTTGTAGAAATGCTGTGTAAGAATGCTAAAAGAAGATGATGCCGAAGCTGAAGCGGTGCAACCTCGTTGTATACGAAAACTAAAAATGCAGTGGAGCGGTATGGAAAAAGCTTCTCCTAGATATAGGACGTGCTTTCTGGCAGCACGAAAACACTCGATGCACTGTGTTTTTTTAAAAAATATTTTCAAAGCAAGTCATTAAACTTGATTAATTCTTAGAAATAAAAAGGACTAAGTAAGTAAATTCTGATTGTATCTTTTATTTATTTTAGTATCTGTTTTTCGAGAGACTTTATGCATACATTAGCCATGAAATGTGTTTGTTTTGAATCTATTTCCTTTAAAAATCAAATACTGGGTGGGCTAGACGTTTAGAAATCACTTAGTTTTGTTATCTATTTTTTGTTTTTTGTTTTTGTTTTGTTTTGTTTTGTTTTGGTAACTAAGATTTTCATTCGCTTATTTCTTAGCACAGATTTGGTTATAATGTAGGGGAAGTGGTTCCTATTTTGTTAATTGTTACATCCTCGCACACTCTACGTTAAAAAAAAGATGGCGCACCAAAAACACAATAAGATAATTAATAAAAGGTAAAGAGAAATAAAGGCACAAAACGTTTCGCTTTTGAAATTAATTCAAATCATACAGATTTATGTGTGCGCCGTTTTAACATTGACTAACGGAGTGTGTTAAATATATTTTTTTTTTTTAACTTGGTTGCACTGTTGGCACAAAAGCATTTTTCTGTTACGGTGATTGGTGTTTTATATATAAACAGTTTATGTACATTCATTCCTCTACAATAAGTCAAATGTCATAGCCTACACCTGTGTAAAAATATAAATATCACAGACTTGATTTCTCTGTTGAAAATGGCGCACAAATGAAAATAATTTTCCAATTTAATTCTTTTAAAAATAACAAATTAATGCCTAATAACAAAATGCATGAAAAGAAAATCATATCTTGACCTAAGCATATAGCGGATTCATGTGTTCATCGGATGAATCTGTCTGAAGGAACAAATTAACGTTAACTTCCGACATTAAGTTTCAAGGCGTCGATCAATGTCAATGATTGAAATATTTTACGTATGGAGTACTTTTTTTTGGGGGGGGGGCGAGATCTGTATATATAATTTTATGTCTGTGATCAGAGACATACTAGAAAACCAACAAGATGTTTACTCTTCCAGCGAATCACGAATTACATACACTATTATAATTGTTTGCATTTACTATTTGCAGATTACGTGTTAATAGCACCTGCTCATATAAGCGTCAACAGATAATCAAGTGACATCGATCCTATCCTACAAAGGAATGTATTTTAGACTGGCTAGTGGCTGCGTTTTATACACACTTGTAAATCACATTAAAATACAAGTGTTTTATATTATTTCTCCTTTTTTTTTAAGTTTCTTAATCTGAACCGAATATAAACATTCACAACAGATTCAAGGTTTTGATTGGTTATTTCGGCCTCTAAATTAAAAATTTTTAAGCCCGATTTCTCGAGCGTGAAGCAGCTACACACAAAACACACACACACACACATATATATATATATAATATATATATATTACATATATAATATATATATAATATATATATAAAATACAATATATATATATAATATATATATATATATATATATATATATATATATATATATATATATATTATATGTAATATATATATAATATATATATTATATATATATAATATATATATATATATATATATATATATATATATATAATATAATATATAATATATATATTATATATAATATATTATAATATATATATATAATATATATAATATATATATTATATATAATATATTATAATATATATATAATATATATATATATATATTATATATAATATATTATAATATATATATATAATATATATAATATATATATATATAATATATAAAATATATATATAATATATAATATATATACAATACATATAATATATATATATATATAGTGTGTGTGTGTTTTACTTCTGAGACCAGTCGAATCAGATCAATACTCTAATGTTGGAAACGGAAAATCAATGATTGATAAACGAATGGCAGGTTAAAAGGCCGACTGACTTTTTGCCTCATGGATACGTCACATCTTTTCTGTTAGACAAATTCCATATGATGGTTGCTGCACAATCGTTTCCTTTTCAGATTTCATATTAAGATCCATTGCTGGAAAGGTGGACATTGGTATTCTATTGCGGTTCCCTTGATCACGGGAAAAGAAAGAGTTTGCCAAGTATATCATCATCAGCAGCCACTGTTCGTTTGAAAGAAAGGCTTTTCTGAATTGCTTCCATGTCGACCTAGACTGTCCTATTTTCTGTGATATCAAACCAGTAAATACTTTTACCTGACTGATCATTTTCCTACGGCCTTTGCCATACATTAGGTTCATACAACCAATCACCGGTTGCTATCTGACGTGTATACCTCCATTTTTGACACCATGATTTATTTGATAACTCTTAGTTAGTCTATTTGGGGATCATTATGGACCTATTTATATCTCGGTTATTCCTATCATGTTCCTTCTATAAATGCCAACTGCTGCTCTGCAGAGGGATAAGACACTCCCAATATGGCGTCCCGGGTATGGCGATAAACTGCATCCGCGTCCAGGGTAAGACAATAAGATAAGGAGGTTTTGAGAAGCGTGGAACCTCCTCTTAATTACTGATGTTCCCCGGTCCACCCTGACCCGGGGTGGTAGCACCTGTTAGAGTCACAGCTATGGGCAAACAGTTAACCCCGAAACTGAAGTAAAAAGCATTATAAAAGTGTAAAAATAGTTTTTAATACCAGAAATTTTTTTTTTAAATTATTACCAGAAATTGAAAAAAAAAACTATTACCAGCAATACGTTTTTGAAAAAAAAATATCACCAGGAATATATGAGTAATTGAAAAATGGTTCAAATATATATATATACATACACACCTTTTTAACCAAATTATCGCTATGTATCTATTTCAAATATTTTGTTGACATTAAATGACCCACTGAGGTTTTGATATGCCATAAAACAAACCAACCAACCAACCAACCAACTTTCTATAAATGATTATAAATTTCTAAATTTATTTACAATGGATTTTGCTAATTTCGTATCCGTATGTCGTAGATATCACCATTCTGCCATTATACCATTGACGTTTTAAGCATTTTGAAACGTTATTCTTTATTATATTTTACACTTATTTCACTTAATATTTTCCAAACAATCATCATGCGTAATTTCATTTCCTTGGTCGTTCTTTAATGTTATACCTCCTTAGTAGATGTATTCAAGATGCTTTTCCAGTTCTGCATCTACTAGTCAGAGGGTATTATAAAAACAGTCCTGTTTTATTTTTGTTTATTTTATGAATGCCTCTCGCTATTCGTGGTCATTTAGTATTACTTGTAATTCACACAATCATTTTTCTATTAGTAAAATATTGTCAGCCAATCGTTGATGGTTTAAGTTTTTTAACTGTATATCTATTATCATATTGTCCCGGTTCGTTATTCAGATGGTACTTTAAAGAAATGCTGCAAATAATTTTGGTTAAATTGTGTCTTCATGTCTCACTCATTTCGCAATCTTGCGTGGAATCACCGCTGAATTACTGCTGTTCCCAGTTCCAACCTGACGATATTCAGTCACCCACCCCCACGAGGGCGTCATGTGGTACAAGGCCGGTTTAACGTGGGATCTCCGAGCCCGTGGGCTCGGGCAAAAATATGCCCTTTGAACCCGTATAAACGGGTTCAGGGTCGGTTTACCTCCCCGAAAGAGAATCCGCTCTTCGGCGTAGCCTCCTTCAGGTTCCTCCCCGCCCGAAGGCAAAGAATTCAACCGATCAGCCGGTCGACTGACTGACTGACTGACTGACTGACAGGAGTAGTAGCACTTGTTAGTCTCCCACCTATAGGTAAATAGTAAACCCCAAAACAAAAATCGGAATGATAAAATGTATAGAAATACATTTTTATAGTAAAAATATCAGCAATACATATTTTATAAGAAAATTATCAACCCTCCATTTTATAGTAAAATTGCCAATATATTTTTGTAGCAAAATGACCAGTAGTATATTTTATAGCAAATGACAATGCATTTTTTTTTTAATCGAAGACATGGCATACATTTTCAAAAAATGAATTGCCGTGATTGATTCCATTTCTCGTAAGGAGAAATATGATTTCTTTCATCGTTTGATCTTGGAAGATTGTTTGGTAAACAAATGCAGCTAAGTAATTATAATTTAATTTTGAAATAATGTCATCTTGAATTCGTTATAAAGTTTGAATTTTCATATTTAGATTTCGGCATTAAATAACCCATAGAGGTGTTGATACGCCGCTAAACAAAGACAATTGAGCAAATTTTCCAATCATTATTTTATCATTGTCTTTATGTAGTCAAATTATAGTATTGTTATCGCATATATTCCCAATAATCTTTATTTATTGCTAATTTTAGCATTGCATATGTTTTAAAATCACATGTGTAGGATTCTGAGTGTAACCTTTCGAATAAAAACTGAGTCTTTTGTGTTGTACTATAGGTATACTGTGTGTAACAGCAAAATTGTCCAATTTTTAGAATAAGTTTTGAACCATTGTATTTTAAAAATAATGAAAGATATCTTGCTGGGATTTTCCGAGGTATTAATAACCGTATTTCACACTATTTTGAGTCATAAGAATTTATAATTACTCTCCAAGCTTAACACAAAAATCGCGATAAAATCAATCATAAACCAAAATGGCATGCTTATATATATATATATATATATATATATATATATATATAATTTCAGGATAATTTTACAACATATTCAAGATGATCTTCGCCCTCTCTAATCTTCTAACTTTCTGCCCTGGTGTAACAAGTTGCCCGACAGGTTTCACGTACTATTTAACTTTCAAGTTTTTTTTTCACTGCTGTTCGGACGGTCATAGCTGAA